GCCAGTCTACGGTCTCCGCCAGGCACCGCGTGAGTGGCACGACACACTGAGGACTACACTTGCGGCTCTTGGGTTTGCTCCCTCTACTGCCGACCCGTCGCTGTTTCTGCGCACCGACACTTCTTTGCAGCCGTTCTACATCCTCGTGTACGTCGACGACTTGGTCTTTGCCACAGCTGACACTGCTGGACTCGCCCACGTGAAGTCCGAGCTGCAGAAGAGACACACGTGCACAGACCTGGGTGAACTGCGCAGCTACCTTGGCTTGCAGATCACCCGGGACAGAGCACGCCGCACCATTACCCTGGCTCAGTCAGACATGGTGCAGCAGGTCCTTCAGCGCTTCGGCTTCACGTACTCCTCGCCTCAGGCCACTCCTCTGCCTACTCGCCACTCGCTCTCAGCTCTGCCTTCGGATGAGTCCGTAGAGTCGAGTGGCCCGTACCCAGAGCTTGTTGGTTGCCTCATGTACCTGATGACCTGCACACGACCTGACCTTGCATACTCTCTTAGCATTCTTGCACGCTATGTTGCTCCTGGGACACACAGACCGGAGCACATGGCTGCAGCGAAGAGGGTGTTGCGCTACTTGTGCAGTACGTCGGGCATGGGGCTTGTGCTTGGAGGGCAGAGTCCAGTGGTCCTCACTGGACACGCAGACGCTTCTTGGGCTGACGACCAGGCTACGCAGCGGTCGTCACAGGGTTACACCTTCAGCCTTGGTTCCGGCTCTGTTTCGTGGCGGGCTACTCGCTCGTCTTCTGTTCTCGGCTCCAGTTGTGAGGCTGAGATCTACGCCGGGGCCATGGCTGCACAGGAGCTTCGCTGGCTCACCTACCTGCTGACTGACCTCGGAGAGCCGCCTCGTTCTCCTCCAGTGCTCTACGTAGACAACAAGGCCATGCTGGCCTTGTGTCGAGAGCAGAGACTGGAGCACAGAACGAAGCACATTGCTCTTCGCTACTTCCTTGCTCGTGAGCTACAGCAGCGTGGTCAGCTGCGACTTGCGTACGTGGCCTCTGAGTCCAACACTGCTGATATCTTCACCAAGGCACTTGCGCCTTGTGATCATCAGCGCTTCTGTACTCAGCTGGGTCTTGTACCTACCTTGCCTCACTTGCTCACCTCTTGACCTTGTTTGTACTGTTGCATATATATATACTCCTGCTCTTGCTTGTCTAGCCTTATATATATATGTAATCCTGCATGTGAACTGGCCTTGTGGCCTTGAACTTGTGCTCGGAATGTGTGGTGACTTTGTGATCCACCCTGAGCTTGCTTTGCTTTGCTTGACTGGTCTTGTGACCCCTTGTTCTCCCCCACTTTGCCTATGGGGGTGTGTCAGAGTTATATGACATAGCTACTGTAGGCTATAGTGGGGTAGCACATATGGGGTACAGTTGCCTAGGGTTTGCCTTTTGTACCCAACTTTCACTTAGTCATTTCATTCCTGTTTTCTTGATTCACAGATGCGCCTCGTGCCGTCTGACTAACATCAGCATTAGCCGGCGTCGACTCTGGGAAACCTCGAAACAGCGAGTTACAGCGAGTTAACGCTGCGACGAAGATCGCGAAGATGAATGCGACAACAGGAGATCGCGTAGCCGACAGTGCGATGACAGGAGATCGCGCAGGCGACAGTGCGATGACAGGAGATCGCGCAGGCGACAGTTCGATGACTCACCTCCTCGCCTTCGGGAGTGGTGGGTCATTGGCCGGTGAACAACGGATTTGCCATTGAAAAGGTAACGACCGGAAAGGGTCTTGGATAGGTCCGAGTCACTGGGATTTTACGGACGAAAGCCCGAGAAGGAAGCCGAGGGGAGAAGCGGGCGAAGCAGGAAACCGAGACGCGCTAGCGTATTACCAAGCAACCGCGCGAGAAATTCTTTTGACCAACAACCATGACACAATGCGGCCTTGTGGGGCTTGGATGACAGTAGAGTTCCATTTGTACGCGATATGGCCTGTCTTGCGGCTTTCCAGATTTTGCAAACTTTCTGTTGTTACGGACGCTGATACAAGTAAATATAAAAGCTCCCTAAATGCTGAAGGTGTTGGATGTTGAGAAGTACACACACACACACTGTGATATGCTGTTAGAGTCGCATATGGATGCCAGCACGTGACATCAACCAGCCTGAGTGGTGATATCCCACGCATCCAATAGCTTCTCAACTTCTCCAGTGATCGAGGATGACGTGGATAAGTTTTCTTGACGCAGCTCCAGTTCTGATGAGGTCGTGCCACTGCCACGTAGTGTCTGACTCAGTGGGCACGGCACTTGTGCGGGAAACCGAAGCGCTTCGTTCCCCCACGTTCCATCCCTCACCCGTATTTCACCGTGTCGCTGCACAGTTGAAAGCTTGGGTTTGGTCGTCCCGTTACGAACCCAGGCCTTGAAACTGAAGAAAAGATTCGCGTCGCTATGCCACTTCCACCCAGTTCTCGTCGCTGTGTTGATGGGATGACGACATTTGTGCAGTGCGCTGAAAGCCCACCAAAAACATCGGGCAGAAGTAAAAGCCCCTCGCTACTGTATGACTCGGCCACATCTTTGGGGTCTTCTGGAGCCGCCCTTCCGAGGTGATTGTCGTGTTCCGGAGTGCGACATCGCTCACCCGGCCGCTTTTTCTGCGATTGAAGTCTCGTCTGTCGCACGCTCGCGAAACTTTGTGCAAGCACGCCACTCGGTGCAACCGCACTGTCACGAAACTTTCGCCAGGATGTTCCGAACAAGTCGCGCTCTCGCCACACCCTACGCGTTTTCACATCCATCGAGCCGTCCGCCGAACCAAGATCTCAGCATCCCGTCCATCTATCTCACAGCAAGTAAACCCATCGCACGGCCATCATGTCCCGCGCCACGATAACTTGGCAAAGGTGAAACCTTGCGAAAAAAAACCAGTGCGGGAGAAAACAGGGGAACGCGCGCGGGGAGAGCTAGCAGCGCAGTGTTTTCGGCATTGACGAACCCTGAATCGGAAGGAAGTGCTTGGTCGAAGCAGCAGCAAGAATTTATTCTAGCCAGCTCTAGAAAACTGCAACAAGCTGTGCTGTCACCAAACTAAACCCCTGGTTGCCCACGCCCCTTAACCGCTCCGAACCAAACCACGCCGATCTGGCTCGCTGCTTGCTCCTTTTTTTTTGACACCACGTCAAGGTGCGGATTCCGCATCTTTCGCCCCTCCTTCATCCGCGCAACTCCCGAGATGGGTCTCCACAATTTCTGGCATTACAGCCACAAACCCCTCCAGAGTATGTTCCTGCTCTTTCAGCCTATCCCCGACAAAGCCAGCGCGAACAGTATTTATTTAGCTGCCAACTGTCCCCCTTTCCAGCCCGCACGGTCACGGCACGTACTCGTTCATAAGCAGAGAGCGCACGTCGTTTCATCGCATCGCAACCACCCTAAATCCTCCGCGCACGTCGCGCCCTTGCCCAGTCCTCACCGTCTCCCTTCGCCTTCTCCTATCGCATTGCCGTTCTCCTCCATTCGCCTCTCCATCTCGTCTCCACATCAATTCCTTTCTCCCATCCTCTGTTGTCTCTTTACCGCGCGTGCCTCTCGGCCTTCGCTAGCCTCCACCCAACCCATATTCCTCGCAACGTGCGAGCCACAAGTCTTAGATCCCCTTACAAGGGTCCAATTGAAGCCATAGAGGCATCTGAAGCACGTTCGAGTGCGTGTTACAAGTCTTAGAGGCGTTTGCGGAGCCTTTGAAGTGCATTCCGTGTTGCAAGCCATAGATACTAGAACCTGCGTGTTCCGTGTTCCGTGCTGCACTGCGGAACCACGGCGTCAGCTGAATGCTCGAGACGGAGCTTGGCTTGTGATGCGTTAGCCGGGGCGACAAGCCGGCAACCGTCCTCAAGCCTTTCCATTCTTTCATTCTTTCCGCCAGTCAGCGGCAACTCTGACGGTCAACATCATCTCTGAGCGCCCGCATTGCTTTCGCCAATCTTTCACCCGCAGTTTCGACTTTAGCGAACTACGGCGATTTTCTTCAAAGTTCCAGGCGTTTAACCAGCGTACGACCTGTACCCGTTATTGACAGCCTCGCATCAAGATGCCGCCGAATAGCAGCCCGTGGTCGCCTGCAGCGTGTATACCTTCCATCCCAATTCCCGAGCTCCGACTTCCTACGACTGTCGCATGCAACAATGCGACGTCGCCGTGCGACTCCATCAAGATCGAGGCGAGAAAGAGCGAGCGGGTTACCAGCGGCACGCGATTTGAGCGTTCGCCAAGCCAGGCATACCGGGACATGCTGGCGGATAAATGGTTCGCTTCCACCTGGTGAGTAGCCAGGAATAGGAGAGCTCCTAAACGCAATCGTACGTCTTCAGGAGGTAACGGGTTCTGAAAAGCGAGGATGTCTAAATTTCAAGGTGAAATGTGACGGGGAGGTAAGGCAGGTGGACAGGAAGAGCGGGATGCGGAGACACGCGCAAGGGGCGGGGATGGAGGGGAGAATTGAGTGGAAGAGCGGGTGAGGGAGAAGAGGGGGGGGGGTTGCTTCTGGTGGGAGGAAGGAGTGGGAACCAGGCGCATTGTGAGCGAGCTGGCGGAAGGGGGAAGGGGGGGGTGGGGAGTGGTAGAGTGTGGGAGGAGAGAGTGGGAACCAGGCGCGTTGTGAGGGAGCTGGCGAAAAGGCTGTTGGGGGGGGGAGGGGAAGGAGGGGAATGCTCTCCTGCCTAAACGAAGTCAGAGGCGTCAATAGCATCCATTGCCTAAACGAAGTCAGAGGTGTCAATAGCATCCATTACCTTCCCGCCCCTCTCCCCATCCCTTCTTTCCCCCCCTCGCCTCCCTTCCTCCCCCTTCCCCTCCCTCCCTCCCCTCCCCTTTTCTTTCAACACTCACCCCTCCCCCCACCTCGGTCGCCCCGTCTGGTTTGCGATCACTTCAAACCCGCTTATATTCCTTCCTCTCGTGGGCCGTCTTTGTATATCAGGTCCTTCGTGCTCATAACGATTCTCTCTACAGCGAGTTTTTCATGTTTCCTGATCTTCGTGGGCCTTTTCCCCATTTGGATCCTTGTGGAGGTGAGTGTATATCTGTAACCCACATCGTCTCGTTTTCATATTGCATCGCCAAATAAACGTCATGAATTCTACCGTTTTTGTGAACTGGTTCTTCATATTATATTCACCAAAACTGTTCATATTCGTGTATTGCAGGCGGTGTTCAGATACGTTCGGTACCAGCAGTACCGCCACTGGAGTGACAACTTTATTGACCCCCCGCTTCCTTCTACTGAGAGCATCGAGTCCCTCCTCGATCATGTCCTCGCTATAGCGTACGTGCCTTTCCCGCCCACCTTGGGAGTTCCGACCACCTTGGAAATTCCGCCTATCTAGGCTTCCGCCTGAGTCTGTTTGATCGCTTCGCTACCTTGGGAATTTTCCTCCACTCCGTTTCACTTCCTTAATTTGGTCGTAGCATTTTTCGCTCTCACACACTTCGGCTTTTGTTACATTTTGAAACTGACCATACTTGCATCAGCTCTCCAGTACTCCTGTATATATACTTCCTATGTCCCACATTCCCGTCTCATTTCCTTTTCTTGTGATTTTTTTTCTCCTTTGCTGTCGACGTGCTGTCCGCACCCACATTGCTTCCCCGTGTTTTCCTGGGGTCGCATTAACAGCAAGTACGTGGATTACGAGGAGTTTGTCGGAGGTTGGTTCCTTGGCACGCGAGTGAAAGACCTAACTCGCGAACATGTGCGACAATTCATCTCCTTCGGTTTCTACCACAGGTGATTATCGTTCCCATGTCCTTGCATTCTCGAGGTAGCACGTGATACGTTCCCTCTGAGTCCAGTTTTGAGTCGACTCTAAGCACGTGATTATAGTTCCTCGACACGTTTTCGAGCGAGAACGTAATGCATTCCCTTTGAGTCCGTTTCGAGGGCCTGACACTCCTGGTCCTCCTCTGGCCCTAGTATACTTTCATTTCATGTGATACACACTCTCTCTTAGTCCGTTTCGAAGTCCTGACACCTCGTGGTCCTTTTCTGACCCCTTCTTCCCCGTGCTCCGTTTCCCTACCTTCCTTTTTCCCCGCCTCCCCCCTTCAACCGTTCTCGTCTTTCGTCGCTCAGGTTTTATAACGAGCTCACTCCCGAATATCAGGAAGCCGTCCGAGGTGCGTAATCAAGAGCCGGATTGGCTGACTCGTTTCTGTACCCTCTCGTACGCTCGAGGCAGTTTCTCTCATCCCGCCGTCATGCCATCCCGTCGCCACGCCATCCCGCCGTCATGTCTCCTTCCCTCTTGATCCCACCCCATCGTCCATCAAGCTAGCTCCCGGGATTGATTCGCACCCTCTCTTCCCCATCAATTCACAATCGGTCTTTTTTCGTCGTTCCCCTCACGTTTCCCCCTCCACCCCTTCTTCCGGCTTCCAGACCACGTGGTTCGGACAGAGCGCGCCATTGGCCTCATCTTCCCCGAGGTCCTCCCCGCGGCCCCCTCCCCCTCCGCGTCCGCCGCCATCGCTTCCCCGCCCCTCTCCGCGCGCCCCTCCTCCGCCTATCAACCCCTCCGGGTGCACCCAACCGAGCCAGCTGCAGCCTCGGCAGTAGGTCCGGCAGCAGGTCCGGCAGTAGTTCCGGAGGTCAAGGCTTCAAAAACCTTCGGAACCTTCCAGGAAGATGACGATGCTGGTTCGGAGAGCGGAGAGGCCGTATATCCATGCACACTGGAAGAGGAGAAAGCAGGAACAGCAGTGGAGGAAAACAGCGCCACTAGTGCTGCTGGCGACGGTGCGGACGGTTCCGCTGCGGCTGGTGCTGATTCGGTTGCTGATGATGCTGATGCAGATGCGGCAGACGCGGCGGCGGCTGTGGTGGGCTGTGGGAGAATGGGTTCGTGGGGCAGGAGAAAGAAGCCCGAGGTGCGATTCATGTCGCACTGTAGGGAACCCATCCGCGCCATTCTGCACCCCTTCATCCTCTACGTCTGGTACGTTTCCTAACGTCTAGCGCGTCCCAAGGTCTTTTTTGAGTAGACTATAATTTCATCTGAACCGGTCTGCACCTCTAAATTGTTTGCATCCGATACATTGCTGGTCATCACCGTCTCCCTCAACCCGTCATCCGCCTCTCTGTCCCCCGCTCCACCCACCTCCCATGCATTACCCAAACCCTTCACTTAACCCAAAACAACAGGGGCCACATCATAGGGTGTCTGACGAGCCTCGCGATGCGTTATCTGGGCTTCACAAAGCACTTCACAGCGGACGGGTTCAAGTACTGGGTCAGGGAGCCCCGCCGCGCCTCCTTCTCCTCCACCGCTTTCACCATGATCAACAGACTTTCCGCTGCTTCTGCTGACGCTCACACCAACGCCGAAAGGAGTGCTGACGGGATTGGCAGCAGGAACAGCAATAACAGCAGGGAGAGCACGGATAGCGACAGCAGCAGCAGGGGCATGAGCTTTGGGTGCAGCGGCGGCAGTTTTCGCAGCAGCAGCAGCAGGGACAGCACCAGCAGCAGCGGTAGCAGGGAGGGTGGTGGAGTGCCGTACCCTGCATATTCGAGTGTAGCTGGTGGGAGTGTAGATTATAGCGAGGATGAGGAGGAAGGGGTGGTGTTTGTGCATGGGCTTGGGATTGGCCTCACTCCTTACCTCGGGTTTATCGGCATGATGAAGAGGACATACCCTAACAAGGTTAGTACACTAAAGCTGTTTATGTCTTATAATGCATATTATACTAAAGTGAGGATGAGGAGGAGGGGGTGGTGTTTGTGCATGGGCTTGGGATTGGCCTCACGCCTTACCTCGGATTTATCCGCATGATGAAGAGGACGCATCCTAACAAGGTTAGTACAGCTGTTTATATCTTATAGTGCGTATACTAATATAGCGAGGATAAGGAGGAGTGTGTTGTGTTTGTGCATGGGCTTGGCAGTGGCCTTCTTACCTCGGGTTTATTGGCATGATGAAGAGGACGTACACTGATGGTGTTACATCTTATAATGCATATGGTACTATAGAGGATGAAGGGTTACCCTGGCTGCAGCTGAGATGCCCCTCACGTTTTCCCTGCCCCCCCTCTCCCTCCGCCTCCCTGTTCCCCACTCCTCGTCCACCCGCCCCGCCCTTCCGCCTCTCCAGAAATTCATTGTGGCGGAAATGCCTCATCTCCCTTCCGCCTCTCCTTCACCTCCTAAGCCCATCACTCCTTCGCCTTCTTTCCACACCCTTGTCCCATCGTCCTCTCTCTCTTTCTGCAGATATTCATCGTGGCGGAAATGCCTCATCTTGCCTTCTGTCTTTCATCCGCCCCTAAGCCCCTTCCCCTCCGCCCCCCACCGCCCCCCTCCCTCCCCCTCTTATTTCTGCAGAAATTCATTGTGGCGGAAATGCCTCATCTCGCCTTCCGTCTCTCCTCTGCCTCTCCAACCATAGACGATATCGTAAGTTGTGCCTCGTGTGCTGTGAGTTGTGGGGAGTGCCTTGTGTCCTGAAAGTCGTGAGGAGGCTTCCCCTGTACAAGCCTTTTGCCTCTCCTCTGCCTCTCCAACCATAGACGATATTGTAAGTTGTGCCTCGTGTGCTGTGAGTTGTGGGGAGTGCCTTGTGTCCTGAAAGTCGTGAGGAGGCTTCCCCTGTACAAGCCTTTTGCCTCTCCTCTGCCTCTCCAACCATAGACGATATCTTAAGTTGGACCATCCCATCCGCTGTATGTCACCCCCCTGTATAACTCATGCTCCTGTATAAGCCCCTTTTATAAGCCATCCTCCTCTATAGCCCATGCTCCTATATAAGCCACCTCAGGTGAGACTAGCAGATGGTCTCCAGGCGCCTATCAGAGACTCACAAGAAATCCTGACTGCCTTGCTCTATAGCCCATTCTCACCATCTCTGCCTGATCTTTCCCCCTTTCCCCCCCTCCCACCCCCCTCCTCCCCCTCTCTTCCCCCTCCGTCTTCCCCTATCTTTGCCATGTACAGGTGCAGGGCTAGGCGCTTCAGGTGTAGGGGCTCAAGAGACTGACGAGTGCCTCGTTCTCCTCTCCTCCACTCGTTCGATCCTCAACTCTTCCCCTTGTTCCCCCGTGCCCGCTTTGCCTTACGCAGGTGGCGGGGCTAGCAGAGGCTCTTCAGGCGCAGGGCCTCAAGAGAGCGACGTTTGTCGGCCACTCCTACGGCACCTTCGTGCTCGCACAGGTGACTATATAACGAGTGGAGTGGGTGTCGCTGGGTGTTTATAACGAGGGTAGGTCTACAGTCCTAGGTGATACCAGAGGCACTTCAAGCACAGGGGCTCAAGAGGGCCACGTGTTGGCCACTCCTATGGCACCTTCGTGCTCGCACAGGTGATTATAACGAGCGGCAAGAAGGTTACTGTAACGACTGTTGAGCAGGTGACTATAACGAGTGGAGAGGAGGTGGCTGTAACGAGCTGGTGTGACTGGGTGTTTGAAACGAGAATGGATGCACCCTGGGTGCTGCACCTTCCCATGCCAGTCCTCTCCTGTTTTTGTGTTGAGACGTCTCATGCCTAAAAAACAGGCTTGTGCCAATTCTATCCCCTCCGCTCCCTTCACTCGTCCTTGTGCGCACGCATTCCAGTACTGTGGCGGCACTAGCCCTCACGATCTCTGTCTGCTTCCTCCTCTGCATGTTGGAGTGACTTTTGAGAATTCTCAAAAGTCACTCCAATATAGGTGGCGGCACTAGCCCTCACGATCCCTGTCTGCTTCCTCCTCTGCATGTTGGAGTGACTTTTGAGAATTCTCAAAAGTCACTCCAATATAGGTGGCGGCACTAGCCCTCACGATCTCTGTCTGCTTCCTCCTCTGCATGTTGGAGTGACTTTTGAGAATTCTCAAAAGTCACTCCAATATAGGTGGCGGCACTAGCCCTCACGATCCCTGTCTGCTTCCTCCTCTGCATGTTGGAGTGACTTTTGAGAATTCTCAAAAGTCACTCCAATATAGGTGGCGGCACTAGCCCTCACGATCCCTGTCTGCTTCCTCCTCTGCATGTTGGAGTGACTTTTGAGAATTCTCAAAAGTCACTCCAATATAGGTGGCGGCACTAGCCCTCACGATCCCTGTCTGCTTCCTCCTCTGCATGTTGGAGTGACTTTTGAGAATTCTCAAAAGTCACTCCAATATAGGTGGCGGCACTAGCCCTCACGATCCCTGTCTGCTTCCTCCTCTGCATGTTGGAGTGACTTTTGAGAATTCTCAAAAGTCACTCCAATATAGGTGGCGGCACTAGCCCTCACGATCCCTGTCTGCTTCCTCCTCTGCATGTTAATTTCTCCCCCTTTGTCTACCTCTCCCCTCCGCTCACCACCCACTCAGTATGTGAGTAAGCACTTCAGCTCACGTTGCCTCCTCACTCGTTATCCCTCTCCCCATCTCCCCCTCTCTCCATCTTCTCTCCTTGCAGTATGTCCGCAAGCACTTTAGCACAGTGGCAGCACTAGGACTCATGGATCCCGTCTGCTTCCTCCTCTGCATCCCCAAGACGCTGCTCAACATGATTTACAAGTAAGCGCCGAATATCTGGAAATCAAACTGAATCTATTCAGTTCGTGCATTAGTGTACGGGTCAGTGCATTGGTGTGTCCTTGGTGTGTGTCTAACTCTCTACACCTTGGTGTGTCTCCGGAATCTGCCGCTCCCTTATTCTGGACTCCAGTGAACATTATGGACTCTCCTTGAGGTGGTTCTTCTGCGCCAGAGAGCTGCAGGTGGCTCGCAGCTCTGTCTCTCCTCATCCTCCCTCCTTCCCTAACCCTATGTCCCCGGAACTGCGCCTTATATTGCTCCCAGGACCCCGGAGAACATAATGGACGGGCTAAGGTGGTTCTTCTGTGCCAGAGAGCTGCATGTGGAAGGAAAACTTGGAAAAAATCACCAGGCCTCAAAAATCACCTCATGCTCCTTCTCTGCCCCTCCCTGCGTCTATTGCTGCTGTTTCTCGTTGCTCCCAGGACCCCCGAGAACATAATGGATGGCTTGAGGTGGTTCTTTTGCGCAAGGGAGCTGCAGGTGGCTCGATCTCTCTCTCGCAACTTTGACTGGTGAGACTAATGTTGACACGAACTCTTGAATATCTTTTCAAGTGCTTGTTGAGTCGACTAGAAAGTTTTCCTTCCAAGTGCATGCGTGCATGCTGTTACCAGGCAGTCCAAAGCGAACCTTCCCCATCAACCATATCCCCTTCCCCTCCCCTCCCCCCCCCCCCCCTGGCCCAATTCCTCTCCAATTCTCCCCTCTCCCCTCTCGTAGGCATGCGTGCATGTTGTGGCCCGAGGAGATACCACGTCAGCAGTCAGTGGTGCTAGTGGGCGGCCAGGATCAAATCGTGCCGTCCAACCACATTAAGACGTACGCCCCTCGTGCTCTACATGTGCTGCTGCTAGCGTTGAGGCACCTCAAGACAAGAGCCCACCCTCGCACATGTGCTGTTGCTCGCTTTTGTGTGAATACATGAACATCACATAAATGTTTGTATTGGTTGCACTGTCACCACTGCACTGCAGTGACTGCTTTTCTGCCTCTGGTACATTTAAGGATCGCATCTGAGCCCTTCACTAGAAGCACATTCTTTCTAGCACCTAGTCACAGCTGTCTTTCTCCCCCCTACCCCCTTCTCTTCCTCCTCTCGCCCACTGCAGGATGCTCACTGAGAAGGGTGTAGAGTTTATGTATAATGAGACGTACCAACATGCACAAGTGCTCTTCAGGTAAGAAAAACCGTCGCCTTGATTGTAAGTCAGTGGTGCACACCTTTTTCTGCACAATGCGTATCCGCCCAACCTTACACATGTTTGCATGCCCTGAACCCATTTTTTCCCCTTTTTACCATGTTATTCATAATCCCCTTGCTTTTTCTTCCCTTGTAATTACAGCGACACCAAGCAACGGGAGTTTTTGACACGTCTCATTGCTGCCCGAGCCACAGCCGACCAATAAAAGCACTCGAGGAAGTTCTATGGGCAGCGTTCTGTTTTACCGCTCTGCCCGGCCAACTGGGCAGGGTGTTTACACGATGACTAATCTGGGTGGTGCGTCGACAACAGTGCATCGACTGATCAATAGCAACAGTTGGAGAAGCTTCTAGGTTAGGCCATGGGGGGAAATAGCTGCCCTTAGTATGTCTAGTGAGTAAATAGGTTAGACGGTTCAAGTCTCTCTTGCATGTAGCTGCTCTTTTGTGCAACACATGTCTTATTATCAAAAGCTGCTTGGAAATAAAAGTTGCATCAATGAATGCATCCAGAAAACCTAGCATGGTTTCCTCCTGTCATTATGGGTATCAAGGAATCCTATTGTCATAATCAACAATCACAACTGTTCATCGACTGTGGGAGTCCATCTTTACACTAGCGCGAACAAGCAGCCTCCACCAATTTTAGGGTTCGACTCGTCGCCGACCCTCATTTTCCCTGCTTCTACGACTCAAGAGGCGCCTCGAGAGTCTATTACGCTCCAGTAGTAGCCGGCTCGTAGTCGTCGTCGTCTTCCCACGCGGCCCGCGTTTCCGCTGCACGTACTTTATTCGACGACGCCTTAGGTTGGATAGAATTGCTTGTATCACGAGTAGTAGCAATAGTGATAGCACTCTCGGGCTTCTTTTTTTGTTGTTGGCTTTTCTTGGAAGGCAACCCCGTAAGGAACTCGCGCACTCTGCGCACAAAACTTCCGCCAACCGCGTTCCCGCCAGATTTCGGCGCTTTTGATTGCGATCCGTCCGATTTCCCGCCGCCTCTAGCCCGCCTCAAGAAGATGGTTTTTCCGCTGCGTTCGCCAACCAGTCGGCCCAGCTCCTGAGTTCGCACGCTCGCGAAAGTCAAACCCCTTCGCACGCTGACATCCTTTGAGTCGCCCCCCCGTTCGCGACTGCGTTCATCGAAATATGAGGTCGAATTGCTTGTAGAGGAGGAGTTTGGCGTGCTGACTGTAGCGCGGGCTTCAGTAGCATCACCAGGCGTACCTACTGTCCCATCCGCAGCATTGTCTGGCACTATAAGACCAGCCACAAGGCGTCGGCGAAGAAAGATGAAGTGGTTACTCCGTTTCGACCGTAACGAACCTTCGCGAAACGTCGTCTTACTGGCAAAAGATAAATCAGATTTTGTTGCCGCCGCGGCGTAGAAATGGCTCCTTTGAGAACCGAGGTCCAGGATAGCGCACACCAATAGGAGCAGCAACACCCTGGGGGGAAACATTCCAAGCATCCCTCTTCGGAATGCTGGCAGCGCCATTAAGACTTGAGCTAAAAAAATAATTTCACTTAGGTCGGGGTCGGAAGTCGGAATTTGCGAGTCGGGGGACTCGGGAAGATGGTCGATTGGAAACGGCTGTGAAGGTAACGCTCGTTTCAAGTCTAGCTTTACTGTCACAGTTGCAATACTGATGAAAAATCGAAAGAAGGCTATTAGGTCCTGCGATATCGCCTGGTGAAGCGGCTGAATGTTTCTCACGACGGTTTTGGTACGAGGCCCACTAACTGAGGTTATTGGTGGATTTGGGAAGTCACGTCCCCTGGTGCTGAAGGGACAGCGCCTGGCTCAACGGCTGTTACAAATCGAGGTGTTTTTTTATCAGGAGTCACAAGTCTCGTCGCTTGATTCAGTGCGGAATCGTGAGGGTTGAGATGAAGGGGATGTCATGATGCGATAAACGAACTGAGGGATGACATGGAGAACGAATGACGTTGAGAAAGAAAGACGCCGAGAAAGAAAGACGTTGCTAGAGAAATATGGCGACGGGGAAAACTTGATTGGGAAAAGTGCTTCAACTAGCACTGGTTTGCATATTAGTAGCGTTGTTCTTCCAAAGGAGGGATTTATGGTAGTTCGATTCCTAAATATGGCAGACGAGAAAGGAGCTCAAGAACGAATGGACGAATAGGAGAGGCGGGACTCCGTATGATTAGGGAGGCATAATCGGGGCGCGAAGCTCGCATCGCGTCTAATCTCTGAACTGGCTTCAACTTGCATTGCAACCGCACGTACTTCACGACAAGCTCAAGTGTTGGGCCCACACTCCACAACAAGCGCATTATCTAAGCCGTCGATTTCAACAGTACACCATGATTCATCATTGTGTGTTACATGGTAGCTGAGGGTCTGGATCAAGAGCAGGCGAGGTGTGCCGTGTGGAGTTCCTGCCTGACTAGAAGCTTGACGAAGAAACAAGGCGAAAAATACGCATTGATGCGAACTGTCGGTCGTCATTCTTCGTGCGCAAACATCCTAACTTCATGAAATATGAAACACGTTTGCTTTGTTGACGAACTAATCTCTAGCGAGTTGTTTGAATGCGGTGTATCCATCACAGACCATGATCAAACTCCTTTTGGTGGTTTGGCCTTTTCTCCCTTTCCACCTCGCCACGGGGTTTCACTCACCAGCCTTGAGGTTTTTCTTTCTCCCTCATTCCCACAACCCGCATTTGGGGTTTCGCTCTTCGTCCCCTCGCTCCTCCTCATCAAACCTAACGGCAAAATCAAGGTCCATCCATCTTTCAGGCATTCGTGACATTACCCCTTTTCAGCTTTCTCTTGTGACATAGGTAGGAGGAAATCGGGGTTTCGCGTCTGGCCTCACATTTTCTCTCAGACCCCCACCAAAATCGTATTCCCCCTCAAGATCTCGGTGCATCAGGCGACGCGGGGACTTGCCTGTGAAAGCGTCAGACTGTGAAGCCTTTTCAAGCAGGTAATGTCTACACGACATCAATTCCTCCCAGTAGTGCCGGCAGAAGGCCCATCGAGTTCGCGTCACTTCTTTTTAGGACTACGAAGTAAATCGTCCGTCATATCTGGCAGAGAAAATCCGCCAGCTATGGAGTCCACTTATGCTAACCCTAATGCCGTGCCAACTGCGGTTCTCGTTTCTGGGTCCCGTAGATTGTTTATCGGGGAAGTTTATAACGGACATGTTGCTGACGTGGACAATGCCTGTCGTTTCAGGTCTATTGTAGCAGAGATTCGTCGCTATGGACCCCTCAGAGCTCCCGTCGCCGTACGATCTGCCAGGTGGCACGGCCGGATTCGACGATGCGGATGGACGCTCAGGATTCCCTGGTTCCGTCCCGATGTATCCTCCTCCTCCACATCATCTGCAGTATCACCATCCAGTTCCGTTGATTGAGGCCGATAGGTACGCCGTGAATTACGGCGTGCATCCCGCCGCCCATTCCGCCGCGCATCACGGCGTGAATCACTCCCTAGTCGTGAATGTGGATGAGGACGAGGAGGAGGAAGAAGCGGTTCGACGTCACGATGCTGACCTGGCAGAGGGAGCGGAAGTGCGGGTCCCGGATTCGACGAGATATGAAATCCCGCAGAACGCGCTATCGCCTTTCGAGGCGTCTCAACTACCGCCGTACGGTTTCAGTTCGGAGTACGGTTCGCACGGCAACAGTGATCGGCATTCCAGGCCAATAACGGGGATGCATCATCATGCACACTTTCTATACACGCACCCTCCTTATATGCACATCCCGTTTCACGCACATCCCAGTGCTGGTTCCTCAGGACCCATGCCTCCTCCCCCTCCGCATGAAGTCTCCAGTATGAATTTTGCATATCATCCTTCGTCCCGATCGCTGGTTACCAGTTACAATGCGGGTTATCAGGCGCATGTGATGCATCCTGGACCGTTGGATCCAGTCATGGGGGTTCATCACCACCGCACGATGGAGCATCATGGGTCTATGGAGCATGTATCTGGATCGTATGGGGAGATTAGCATGGGTCATCATCATCACCATCATCACCATCAGCATCATCACCACCATCACCATCACCACACTTCAGTTGGGGATCCGATGGGGCTAGATCCATGGCCGCCGCGTTTACCGCCGCAAATGGCGCCGCATTTGATGCTAGAATCTGGGCCGGAGCGTCGCGGCGATGCTGACGTGGCGTTGAGACAAGCGAGTGATTCAGATGTGCTGGCAGATGGCGGGACAGAAGCTGACGTGGTAGTTGATGCAGTGGGGTATGACTATATCGAGGATGAACATCAAGCGTCGGATCAGGGACTCGTCATGAGACAGAGCGTGCAGACAGTTGAGGAGATGGAGGAATTGAAGCGATTGGAAGGGCAAGAAGGAAGACGAAATGATCTGGTAGAGAGTGCATCTCCAGCGCAAATTCAGGTGCAGGGTTCAGACGACCGCATTTCGCAGGCGCAAGCGCAGGTGCAAGCTCAGGTGCAAGCTCAGGTGCTTGGATCTGAATGTGCCCATAGGCATCTGCAAGGGCGCGAGCAGGACTTGTACGATACTGAGCTTATAACGGATCATGTGTCTAGGCTTGTAGCAAAGCAAGCACTAGTTGAGCAGAGGGAGGAAGGGGGCAGGGGCGGAATGAGCAGACGCCTGGGCAAGGAGAGGAGGTCGAGCTGAGACGGGTCGAAGGGGAGGGGCAGGGGGAGGGGAGGAGTGAGGAAGAAGAGGCGACGGACAGGGGAAATAGAATGGATGGCCAAGAGAGAAAGGAAGGCGGAGTGGAAATGGAGGCGGGAGGGGCAATGGAGAGGGGAGGGGAAATGGAGGTGGGAGGGGAAATGGAGGAGGAAGGGGGAGTGGAGGGGGAAGAGGGGCCGGATATCGAATTGGAGCTAGTTATGGGGGATGCTGAGCTGGACGAAGCGGAGATATTTGTGGGACAGCTGGCTGCTGACGTGGCGGATGTCCATGCACCAGACGGCCACGTGGCAGGAGCCCACTGGCAAGCCCTGCGTGAGGATTTATCCGCGCCACAGTATGGTGCAGAGTTATGTAAAAGAGGGCGTTTATCATCAGACAATAGCGGCATTGCTGAAGGGATAGCAGTGAGACAGGTAGCAGTAAACGAGGCGCATAATAAAGTGTATGGTACAGAGTTACCTGCAAGGATGCCCCTTTCAGTACTTGAAGAAAGGGGCATTGGCGAAGGGGAGATAACACGGGTAGCGGTTGCACCAGGGAAGGTAACACCTGAAGCAGCAGCAGCATTGGCAGCATCAGCACCAGCACCAGCAGTAGCAGCAGCTGCAGAAGCAGCAGCAACACAGATAACACCTCCAGTAGGGAAAGAAGTGGTGGAAGCAGCAGCAGGACAGGCAACGTTTGAAGCAGCACCAGCAGCAACAGCAGTTGCGGCAGCAGCTTCAGAAGTTATAGTGGCTCCAGAAGTAGCAACGGTAGAGCCAGATGTGCCAGTAATAAACGCACCTTTAGCGGACGTGGAAGCAGCAGCAGGGCAGGCAGCGTCTGAAGCAGCAGCATCAGCAGCATCAGCAGTTGTAGTTGCTTCAGAAGCAGCAGCAGGAGAACCAGGTGTACCAGCATTGGACGGGCCTTTAACAGGCATGCAAGCAGTATGCGTGCGTGCAGAGAATGTGCCAGTAACGGGCGTGCCAATAGGAATTGTGCCAGTAGCAGACATACGTGCAGGGGATGTGCCAGTAACAGGCGTTCCTGTAGAGGATGCTTCACCAGGTACTGGTGGTGGAGCAGAGGTACGGTTGGAACCACTAAGAGAGACAATTGCCACCACTGCAGCACTGGCTGGCGCCACTGCTGCTCCTACTCCTCCTACTCTCACTCCAAAAGCTGCTGCTGCTACTGCTGCTGCTGCCGTTTCTGCTACCCCGACTGCTGCTGCTGCTGTTACCACCCATTCTGCTGCTGCTATTGCTGCTGCCAGCCAGCCTGTGTCAGTGGAAGCAGGCGGTACAGGGCATGCTGTTGCCACACCTACTGTTGCTGCTGTTCCACAAGCGGTAGCAGCAGATTTGTTTACAGGGAAGGCTGTGCGTAGTGACAGGGTAGGATCAGAAGCAGAGGCCGCTGTAGCTGCGTTGGAGGGGGTTCCCTCCCCAAGAGCAGCAGCAGTGGCATCAGCAAGAGCAGTAACAGCATCAGGAGATGCTGCTGCCGCTAGTTTATTTGCAGTGGAAACAGGTGGGCCAGGGAAGGGGGTTCCTGGCAGAGTGGCAGCAGAAGAAGCAGAAGCAGAGGCTGATGAAGCTGCGTCAGAGGGGGTGCCCACGCCAAGAGCAGCAGCAGTAGCGATGACAGAAGCAGGAGCAGCAGCACCAGCAGCAGCAGCAGTACCAGCAACAATACCAAGAGTGGCAGCGGTGGCATCAGCAGCAATGGCGTCAGCAGCAGCAGAGAGTTTAGTCAAACGTGCAGTTGTTGCACCTGTTCTAACAGCAACACCAGCAGCACCACACGCACTGAAACCAGCAGCATCCGAAGCAGGTGAATCGTCAGCGGCAGCACACACAGCAACAGCAGCTACTGTAGCAGAGCGTGCTGTAAGTGCAAGTGTTCTACCTGTTGTAGCAGCAACGCCAGCAGCACCAGGGACAGCGGCTGTAGCTGCTGCAGCAGCAGGGGCTGTAACAAAGCGTGCAGTCTGTGCAAGTATGGGGCCTGCTGTAGCGGCAACGCCAGCAGCAGCATGGGCAGCAGGGGCAGAGGCAGAAGGGGCTGTAGCAGAGCGTGCTGTAAGTGCAGATGTAGCACCTGTTGTTGCGACAACGACAGCAGGACCAGACACTGCAGCTGTAGCAGCAGCAGCAGTGACTGTAGCAGGGCGTGCAGTAAGTACAGAACCTTTTGTAGCAGCAACACTAGCAACAGGAGCAGCAGCAACACTAGCAACAGGAGCAGCAGCAGGGAGTGTAGGAACAGCAGCAGCGGTGGTAGTTGAGCGAGCAGTTGGTGCAGCTATCGAACCTGTTGCAAGGGCAAGACCAGGAGCACCATACGCACTGCAATCAACACCAGGGACAACACAAGTTGAAGATCGTTCTGTAAGTTCTGTAAGTGGAGTTACAACCCCTGTTCTATGGGTAAGACTAACACAAGTTGAAGATGCAGCAGCAGGAACAGCAGGGCCAGCACAGGCGGCAGGGGCGGCAGGTGACAGAGCAGCAGCAGTAGGAGAAGCAGCATTAGTGCCAGAATTAGCTGTACCCCTAGCAATTTTGACCAGTGCTGACAGTACAGGGGCGGAAAGAGCAGGGATGGAAAGAACAGGGGCAGTACCAGTGAGAGCAGCAGGAGCAGCAGCAGCAGCAGCAGGCTGTATGGCAATTGCACAAGCAGAAGCAGCTGCTGTAGCAGCAGCAGTTGGGATGGCAACAGCAGCAGTTGGGACAGCACCAGTAGGAGGAGGAGGAGGATCGGCAGCTGGGAAAGTTGTACCAGGAAGGTTCCCAGCAGCTGCAGCAGCTAGAGGCGTTGCAGTAGCTAGAGCAGCACCACAAGCCACATTTGCTGCAGCCACAGTTTCTGCAACAGTTTCAAGTGCAACTGGAACGGTTTCAACTAGAGCATGGCCCGTTTCAACTGCCGCCAGAACAGTTTCGACTGCAGCTGTAACTGTTCCTGGGAACAAGATGACACCTGAGGAGCTGGAAATTGACATGAAGGATTTCCTGAGCAACAGAGCCAGGTGGGGCCAGGTGGAGAAGGGAGGCGCGTCCATTGCCCACCTGAGAATCTACCTGAGGGGTCTGCGACGAGAAGGCGACCCGAAACTAGAGGTACGGAGAGAAACGAAGCAGGACATGTTTCTCTCTCATGGTCTTACCGTCGGTCTTACTGTCAGTTGAGGACATAAAGCTGTGATGCTGTGATGCTGAGATGCTGAGATGCTGAGATGCCGAGATGCTGAGATGCTGAGATGCTGAGATGCTGAGATGCCGAGATGCTGAGATGCTGAGATGCTGAGATGCTGAGATGCTGAGATGCTGAGATGCTGAGATGCTGAGATGCCGAGATGCTGAGATGCTGAGATGCCGAGATGCTGAGATGCCGAGATGCTGAGATGCTGAGATGCTGAGATGCCGAGATGCTGAGATGCTGAGATGCCGAGATGCTGAGATGCCGAGATGCTGAGATGCTGAGATGCTGAGATGCCGAGATGCTGAGATGCTGAGATGCCGAGATGCTGAGATGCCGAGATGCTGAGATGCTGAGATGCCGAGATGCTGAGATGCTGAGATGCTGAGATGCTGAGATGCTGAGATGCTGAGATGCTGAGATGCTGAGATGCTGAGATGCTGAGATGCTGAGATGCCGAGATGCTGAGATGCTGAGATGCCGAGATGCTGAGATGCCGAGATGCTGAGATGCTGAGATGCTGAGATGCCGAGATGCTGAGATGCCGAGATGCTGAGATGCTGAGATGCTGAGATGCCGAGATGCTGAGATGCCGAGATGCTGAGATGCTGAGATGCTGAGATGCCGAGATGCTGAGATGCCGAGATGCTGAGATGCTGAGATGCTGAGATGCCGAGATGCTGAGATGCTGAGATGCTGAGATGCCGAGATGCTGAGATGCTGAGATGCCTGAGATGCTGAGATGCCGAGATGCTGAGATGCTGAGATGCTGAGATGCCGAGATGCTGAGATGCCGAGATGCCTGAGATGCTGAGATGCCGAGATGCTGAGATGCCGAGATGCTGAGATGCTGAGATGCTGAGATGCGCTGAGATGCTGAGATGCTGAGATGCCGAGATGCTGAGATGCCGAGATGCTGAGATGCCGAGATGCTGAGATGCTGAGATGCCGAGATGCTGAGATGCTGAGATGCTGAGATGCTGAGATGCCGAGATGCTGAGATGCTGAGATGCTGAGATGCTGAGATGCTGAGATGCTGAGATGCCGAGATGCTGAGATGCTGAGATGCTGAGATGCTGAGATGCCGAGATGCTGAGATGCCGAGATGCTGAGATGCTGAGATGCCGAGATGCTGAGATGCTGAGATGCTGAGATGCTGAGATGCTGAGATGCTGAGATGCTGAGATGCTGAGATGCTGAGATGCTGAGATGCTGAGATGCTGAGATGCCGAGATGCTGAGATGCTGAGATGCCGAGATGCTGAGATGCCGAGATGCTGAGATGCTGAGATGCTGAGATGCCGAGATGCTGAGATGCCGAGATGCTGAGATGCTGAGATGCTGAGATGCCGAGATGCTGAGATGCCGAGATGCTGAGATGCTGAGATGCCGAGATGCTGAGATGCCGAGATGCTGAGATGCTGAGATGCTGAGATGCCGAGATGCTGAGATGCTGAGATGCTGAGATGCCGAGATGCTGAGATGCTGAGATGCCGAGATGCTGAGATGCCGAGATGCTGAGATGCTGAGATGCTGAGATGCCGAGATGCTGAGATGCCGAGATGCTGAGATGCTGAGATGCTGAGATGCCGAGATGCTGAGATGCTGAGATGCTGAGATGCTGAGATGCTGAGATGCTGAGATGCCGAGATGCTGAGATGCTGAGATGCTGAGATGCCGAGATGCTGAGATGCTGAGATGCTGAGATGCCGAGATGCTGAGATGCCGAGATGCTGAGATGCCGAGATGCTGAGATGCTGAGATGCTGAGATGCTGAGATGCTGAGATGCTGAGATGCTGAGATGCTGAGATGCTGAGATGCTGAGATGCTGAGATGCTGAGATGCTGAGATGCTGAGATGCTGAGATGCTGAGATGCTGAGATGCTGAGATGCTGAGATGCCGAGATGCTGAGATGCTGAGATGCTGTGATGCTGAGATGCTGAGATGCTGAGATGCCGAGATGCTGAGATGCCGAGATGCCGAGATGCTGAGATGCTGAGATGCTGAGATGCTGAGATGCCGAGATGCTGAGATGCTGTCAGTTCAGTGGTGCAACTCTTTGCCACCCTCGTCAGCCCTGTACTCGCCCTCCCTTCCACCACGCCCAACCTTTGTCTCCGCCCCTCTCTGCCCCTCTCCACCCCTCTCCATCACTCTCCACCCCTTCCCACCCCCCTTCCACCGCGCTGCACTCCTTTCACCAGCATCTGCAGGACATGTTTCTCTTGCACAGTCTAAATCTCGAGGACATGAAGCTCGAAATGCTCTCTGTCGTACAGCTCTTCGCCACCCTCGTCAGCCCCGTGCTCTCGCTCCCATCCACGCTCACCCTTGTTCTCCGCCCCTCTCCACCCTCCCGACCCTTCTCCACCGTTCTGCACCGCACATCACCTGCAGGACATATTTCTCTCACACGGGCTAACTCTCGAGGACATCAAGCTCAAGATGCTCTCAGTGGTACAGCTCTTTGCTACTCTCGTCAGCCCCGTTCGAATTGGAGCAAAGAACAAACCCAAGCTCCTCACCATCATAGCGACCTCCGAGCCTTGGAACCGACCTCACGCCCCTCCATCCGCACTCATCCTTGTTCTCCGCCCCTCTCTGCCCATCTGCACCCCTCTCCACCCCTCTCTAGCAACTGCAGGACATGTTTCTTTCCCACGGGCTCACCTTGGAAGACATGAAGCTCAAAATGCTCTCAGTGTACAGCTCTTCGCCACCCTCGTCAGCCCCTCCCTTCCATCCACGCTCACCCTTGTTCTCTGCCCCTCTCCACCCCTCTCCACCCCTTTCCACTTCTCTCCGGTACTTTCCACCACTCTCCACCACTCTCACTCACAGCAACTGCAGGACATGTTTCTTTCCCATTGGCTCACCCTGGAAGACATTAAGCTTGAGATGCTCTCAGTTGTACAGCTCTTCGCCACCCATGTCAGCCCCGTGCGAACCGGAGCAAAGAACAAGCCCAAGCTCCTCACCATCATAGCAACTTCCGAGCCTTGGAACCGACCTCACGCCATGGAGAAGCGGCTCGTTGCCGCGGCTTTCAGCCCTGTGCACGTCCTCCCTTCCATTCACTCTCACCCTTGTTCTCCATCCCTTTCCACCCCTCCCAACCGCTCTGCACTCCTTTTGCCAGCACCTGCAGGACATGTTTCTCTCGCACGGACTAACTCTCGAAGACATAAAGCTGGAAATGCTCTCAGTCGTACAGCTCTTCGCCACCCTCGTCAGCCCCGTGCGAACCGGAGCAAAAAACAAGCCCAAGCTCCTCACAATCATAGCCACTTCCGAGCCTTGGAACAGACCTCACGCTATGGAGAAGCGGCTCGTTGCGGCGGCTGTCACCGGGCCTGTCCCGGGCGTGCCACCGGAGCTGGCCGCTGCGGCTGCGGCACAGGTTCGGGTGGGGGAGGAGGAGGTTCGGTTTTTGGAGAGTCCGAGAGAGTGGAATCTGGTGGATCACCGGGGGGAGTTTCAGTTTAATGCTATCTTTGCATTCCTGCGCAAGGCACATGTGTGCGAGCCGCTGCTGCTGCAGGTGAGACTGCAGTGGGATTGCAGGGTCTTAGAGTTTCAAGATTTGAAAGTTTAGGGCCTCTGACAAGCCCGAGGGAGTGGAATCTGGTGGACCACAGGGGGAAGTTTCAGTTCAGTGCCATCTTTGCATTCCTGCGCAAGGCGCATGTGTGCGAGCCACTGCTGTTGCAGGTGAGACTGCGCTGCATGCAAGGTTTGGTTGTCAGGGTTTATCAGGTTTAGCAGGTGCTAGGATTTGAGGGTTCAAAGTCTGGTGGATCATCGGGGTGAGTTTCAGTTCAATGCTATTTTTCGCAATGCTGCACAATCTGCGAGCGTGCAAGAAGTGGGTGCTCATACTGCTCACGCTACTTCTTTCCCCATTCGGCATCCCTCCCTCTCCATCCGGCACTCCCCAACACCCAATTCCCGCAGCACTACCAGGCACTCTTTTTCGCCCACCGCCTCACCCTACACGATCTGCGAGCGTGCAAGAAGTGGGTGCTCATGCTGCTCGTTGTTCCCAACCCTTGCTCCCCCCATCCCTCTCTTTCCAACCCCTCTGTCCCCCACTCCCCACAGCACTATCGGAGTCTCTTCTTTGCCCATCGCCTCACACTGCACGACTTGCGCGTTGCTTCTTTCCTCTTCAACCCACTCCCCCCTCCCCCCTCCTCTTCAAAGCCTGTTCTTCGCACATCGTCTCACCCTACACGACCTGCGGGCGTGCAAGAAGTGGGTGCTCATGCTGCTCGCGCTGCTTCTGGGCTTCTCCGGCCGCCTGGACGAGCTAAACAAGAAAGACCTCGTGCAAGCTATAGCCTCTCTTCCCACGCTGCTGCTCGCGCTCCTTTCCCCTCCTTTCCCCCTTATTATCGCCCCTTTCCACCCCTCCTACTTCCCTCCCTCCACCCCTTCATTCCCCATTCCCCACAGCACTACCAGAGCCTCTTCTTTGCTCACCGCCTCACACTACACGACCTGCGAGCGTGCAAGAAGTTGGTGCTCATGCTGCTGACGTTCCTACTCACCCCTCTCTCTTCCCACCCGCCCTGTCTCCCATTCCCCACAGCACTATCAAAGCTTGTTCTTTGCACACTGTCTCACCCTACACGACCTGCGGGCGTGCAAGAAGTGGGTGCTCATGCTGCTCGCGCTGCTGCTGGGCTTCTCCGGACGCCTGGACGAGCTAAACAAGAAAGACCTCGTGCAGGCTATAGCCTCGACAGACGCTTGGAAGGGGTATGAGAAAAGGGGGAAGGAGTATGAGATAGGGGGGACTGGGAATGCAACCAATAGCTCAGGGCTCACGTCTCAAGGCTTGAAGAAGAAAGGGGAGGTCGTGCAGGCAATGGCATCGACGGACGCTTGGGGTGGGAGCGGAGAACGAGGGAGTGCAGGGGAGGGAGGAGTGGTTGAGATGGGTTCAGAGGCAGGAGCAGGAGCAGTAGCAGGGGCTGGTGGGGGGGCTGGGGCGGCTGGAGGAGCAGGAGCAGCAGTAGGAGGAGCAGAAGCAGCGAGAGCAGCAGGAGGAGCAGCAGCAGTGGAAGCAGCAGGAGGGCGGGATGTTGTGATTGCAGCAGACAGGGGACGCACACATGCATCATCGTCTCCTTCGTCTCTTGCCCCTCCTGGCGCTACCCCTGCCGCTACTCCTGCTTCCACTCCCCCTCCCCATGTTCCTGCCACTAACGTCAGCAGTAATCATGCTAATAATAGCACAGCCCCTGCAATTATTAGCAATCATGTCGATATTGCCAATAATAGCAATGATGCCGATAATGGCAATTGCTCCAGGAAAAGGTCTGCTCCAGGGAGAATCCGGCCAATCAAATGCGCTCGTCTACTGCCGACCTCCCGCCAGGACCGGTCGGCATTCCTCGTCCGCGTCCGGCAGGCGGGGGACGACGAGTTGGGCGGCGTGCTTCGGCAGTTTCTGGAGGATCCTAAGCACTGGGCGTGCGCGCTGAAAGGGGGCGTGGTTGTAACGAGACTGGGGAAGTTCATAAGGGATATGGCGGAAAACAACCCAACGATGCTGGAGGTGAGTGAGTGTGTGTGCGTGTTAGGCTTCTCTGTGCTCCATTGTGCTTCCCTACATGGACTATTGGGAGTTTGAAGAGTATATTTGCTACAATTCTTTCTGAGTTTACTTAGAAGTACTCTCCCTCTTCCCCCTCCACCTCCAACCCCTCGCCTTCTTGCCTGGATTTGCTCTCGAGCCTTTTGAGACGTCTCAACAGTCCACCCCCTCCTCCACCCCCACCCCCCCCCACCCCCTCCACCCCCTCGCCTTCTTGCCTGGATTTGCTATCGAGCCTTCCTTCCTTGTCAACAGCAACGGCTCCCAGCTATCCTTATTCTGCCGTTTTCTTTCTTTTTTTTTGCTGCCAGCCCTACCAGCAGGCGTTCTTTGCTCACGGCATTGGCATAATGAAGCAGAGGCAGGAGAAGAGACCTTACCAGTGGCCCTTTCCCTGAACCCCTTTACCACAGGCATTCCCTTCCTTTCACCTCTTCTCCCCCCAGCCCTACCAGCAGGCCTTCTTCGCTCACGGCATCGGCATGAAGGAGCTGAGGGGGGAGAAGCGCAGTGCCCTGGAGCTCTTTGCATACCTCATGGGAGTCACAGGTAGCGCATGAGAATGGTAACGTGGTATGGCCTGTTTTGTTTATCATGACAGACAAGTGCACGCTATGAGGGCATGGAAGAATCGCCAAGTGCTCAAAATCGTATCGGATATGCTAGCCCGGCAGATGGTTATTGATATGCCAGCCGGGCTGATGCTAGCCCGGCAGACTTAAAAGGGATTCTCTGCGTTGCTCCTCTACTGCGTCACACCCCCCCCCGCCCTTGATCCACCCCAGGCAACATGCGGGCATGGAAGAAGCACCGGCTTTTAAAGATCATGTCTGATATGCCAGCCTGGCAGATTCATGCGACGCGATTGGACGAGATGGGCTTGGGGGGAGGTGTGGGGAAGAGGGGGTGTGGGGGGAGGAGGGGTGCTGACGGGGAGGCTAATGGGGAAGGTGCAGGCGAGGGGTGCTCAGCTGCTGGTACTGGGGAGGCTTGTACAGAGGATTGGAGGTCTGGAGGGGTGAGAAATGGAATGGGGAGGGGAGCAGGCGAAGAGGGAGAGGAGGAGGACGACGAGGAAGGGGAGGAGGATGAAGGAGAGGAGGGAGGAGGAGAGGAGATGTTTGGGGGAGCTGAAGTGAGGGAGAGAGAGGGGCAGGGCCAGAAGGTCTTGAGGGGTGAAGGGGTCATGAGGGTTGCTGAGAGATCGAGAGAGATTGGAAGAGCAGGACAGGTAGCACCAAGTATCAGTGAAGCAGGTAATGCAGCAACTGTGACATTGGGAGCTCCAGCTAATGGGGCAGCTGTTGCAGCAGCAACTGCTACAGCACCATCTGTAGGGGTAGGTGCTGGCCCATATGCACCAGCTAATGGGGCAATTGCAGCAGCTGCAACGGCTGTGGCTTCGGAAGGGATTGGGCTTGGGACGGCAACTGCTGCAGCAGCAGCATCTGTAGCTGCAAAGGCAGTGCCATTTGCGGCATCTGTAGCAGGAGTAGCAGGGGAATGTGGTACGTTGGAGTTGACCAATAAATCATCTGTAGCATCTGTTTCAGTAGCAGCTGCAGCAGCAAGTGGTGAGTTTGATTCAGCAGGGAGAACACATGTAGCAGCAACACCTGTAGCAGCAAGTGGTGGTTTTGAGTCCGCTGAGAAAACACCTGTAGCAGCGACTGTAGCAGCAGCGGCAGTAGGAGCAGCAGCGGCTGTAGCAGGGCGTGATGGGGGCAGCAGGGGCAAAGGCCGGCGATGGGAGTGGGTTGACGGGTGGGGAGAAAGGTACCGGAGAAACGCAGAAGGAAATGCGGGAGGAGAGGAAGCTGGGGATAGGGGAGGAGAAATGCACGTAGAGGGGAGGGGTGGTGGAGGAGGGTCCGTGTTTCATTCTCTGGTGTGTTTGGAAAAGGTAGGTGATGGGATGAGCTGTTCTCGTTGCCTGCCGATTGCTGGCCTGGTGCACTGGCAGAGGGGGGAGGGGCAGAGGAGGAATGGTGATGGGGATGGGCGGATAGGGGAGGAGAAGTGGCGGGGAATGGGGGAGGATGGGAAGGCGGAGGGGGGTGAACAGGTGGAGGAACGGGAGAAAGGGGACGAGAACGGGGAGGGGGCGGGGGAGGGGAAGGGGGAGAATGGGGAGAAGGAGAATGAAAAAGGGGAGGAAGAAGGAAAGGAGAAGGGGGAGAAAGGGGAAGGGGATGAGGAGACCATCAGGACGGCCTGTGCTCTGGCCGAATCGACAGTCGAGTCAGCACCACAAGCTGTAGCATCAGGGTGTTTAGCAGGAGAGATATCAACTCCAGAAACTGTAGCACCACAAGCTGTAGCGCCAGAGGCTATAGCACCACAGGTTGTAGCACCACAGGATACAGCACCAAAAGCTATGACTCCTAAGGCTGTAGCACCACAACCTGTAGCGCCAGAGGGTTTAGCAGGAGAGGTGTCAACTCCAGAGGCTGTAGCACCACAAGCTGTAGCACCACAAGCTGTAACACCACAAGCTGTAACACCACAAGCTGTAACACCACAAGCTGTAGCACCACAAGCTGTAGTGCCGGAGGGTTTAGCACCAAACTTTGCAGCTCCAGACGCTTCGGCAGGAGGTGCACTGGATTTACGTAGTGGTTCTGAGACTGTTGCAAACGGTGCTGTGGGGTTGGCAGGGGGCTCAGACGCATGTGGTCTGACTGGTGTGGTTAGGAGAGCACCAAGGGTTGGCAAGAGTGGGGAGGGAGGGGAGGGAGGGGAGGTGGGGAAAGGTGGGGAGGGAAGGGGAGAAGGGGAAGGAGGGGACGGAGGGGAGGGAGGGGATGGAGGGGAAGGAGGGGAAGGAGGGGAGGGAGGGGAAGCGGGAGAAGGGGGGGGAGGAGGGCCAGATGAATCACAGAGGAAGTCAGAGCCAAGGGTCACTCATGCAACAGAGGGGGGATGCAGAGCAGGTGTGACGGTGGCGGGTGTGACTGGGGCAGGTGTGACCAAAGAATCAGCAGTCACAGCAGCAGCTTTAACCGGAGCGTCAACACAACCAGCAGCAGCACCAGAAGCAGCAGCACCACCACTTGCAGCACCAGCAGCAGCAGCAGCAGCACCACCAGCAGCGGCACTAGCAATTCTGCCACAGCAACAGCTGGTTACACCGAAGCCAGTGTCATTTCAAGAGCTCATTTTCGCTGATGGGGCTTTGGAGGAGGAGGAAGGGAGGCTGGGCTGCCTGTGGGAGGAGACTAGTGAGGGACAGGGGCAGGGTGATGTAGATTGCATCACAGAGCGCAGTGGAGACAAGGGAGAGAACAGAGAGAATGAGGGAGCAAACAGGGGAGACGAGGTAGAGAACAGAGGAAATGCGGGAACACCCGCAGCAGCACCACCACCAAAACCAGCAATAGCAGCCACAGCAGCAGGAGTAGCAGCACTACCAGCAGCAGCAGCAGGAGAGGAGGAGGAGGAGACAGGAGAAGTGGCAAGTCTCTTCCTGGCGTTTGTGAGGGATCCAGAGGAGTGGGCTCTGGGGGACGCACAGAGCCGTGCCAAGGTGCCGCAATTCTTCCGATACCTGCGGCACCTGCAGAGAATAGGCTCGCCGCTGCTCAAGGTGAGTGACGAGCCCACAGGTTATTAGGAGTGTAGAGTGGTTGGGTAGGGTTCCTGGGTGTGTTTTTTGGCCGTGTGCTTGTCGGGTGGGGACGCCCAGAGCCGTGCCAAGGTGCCGCAATTCTTCCGATACCTGTGGCACCTGCAGAGGATTGGCTCGCCCCTGCTTAAGGTGAGATTGCTGTATGGGTGCTCAGGGTTTGTTGTGTGGGGTGTACGCTGGGGGACGCACAGAGCCGTGCCAAGGTGCCCCAGTTCGTCCGATACCTCCGGCACTTGCAGCGCATAGGCTCGCCACTGCTCAAGGTGAATGTTTTCCCAGATGAGAGATGTGTTGGGCGGGGATGGGGTTTCAGGTGTTTGTGTGTGTCTCGGGTTTGCGTGCTTCTTAAGAAGCACCGGCAGGGATTTTTTTAGAATTCTCAAAAAAATCTCAAAAGGATCTAAAAAAAAAAAAAAAAAACTCAAAAAAATCTCAAAGAATTCGCAGAAAACCCTCGCAATGTCAAGGGTGTGATGAGGCGATTTTTGCAGGAAACTCCCTTGAGTCGACTCAAAAAGAATTCTCAGAAAACCCTCGCAACGTCAAGGGTTCCAGGTGTTTGTGTGTGTCTCGGGTTTGTGTGCTTCTTAAGAAGCACCTACACTGCGCTTCCCTCCCAGCCTTCCAAACCCTCCTCAACTCTCGAAACACCCCATTCCTCCTTCCGCATTCCCCGCTCTCCCCTCTGGCCCCTGCAGGCCTATCGTGAAATCTTCCTGTCTCACGGCCTCTCCTCCTCTCAGCTCCTGGCAGTCAAGAAGCAAGTGCTGATGCTCTTTGCTGCCCTCTTTGGGATCTCAACCATCCAAACCCCTCTTCTTCCCTCCCCTCTCCCCTCCCTTTCTCTCCCCGGTCCCCCTGCCCCCCTCCTGCCCCTCTGCAGGCGTATCGCGAAATCTTCCTGTCACATAGCCTCTCCTCCTCTCAGCTGCTAGCAATTAAGAATCAAGCGCTCATGCTCTTTTCTGCTCTCTTTTTGGGTACCGCAGGCAGCTGGACGGCAAGAGCAAGGGGCAGTACGCTCTTGGGGGGAGGGGGAAGTACCACTTCTCTCCTCCCCTTATATCCCCATTCCTCCCTCATCTGTTCTCCCGTCTTTCCCCCCCTCCCCCCTCTCCCCCTGCAGGCCTATAGGGAGATCTTCCTGTCGCACGGCCTCTCCTCCTCGCAGCTACTGACCATCAAGAAGAAAGCGCTGATGCTCCTTGCTGCCCTCTTTGGGTACCGCAGGCAGCTCGACGGGAAGAACATTTTTGAGGCGCCTCAAAAGACGACGGGAAGAACAAAGGGCAGTATGCTGCTGGAGGAGAGAAGAGCACTCCCCACAATTCGCTCTCCTCCCCCTCCTGCCCCATCTCCCCGTCTCCCTCTCCCCTCTCCCCACCACTCCGCCCATCCCCCCCTCCCCCCCCTTCCAGGCCTATAGGGAGATCTTCCTGTCGCACGGCCTTTCCTCCTCTCAGCTGCTCACCATTAAGAAGCAGGCGCTCATGCTCCTTGCTGCCCTCTTTGGGTACCGCAGGCAGCTGGACGGCAAGAACAAGGGGCAGTACGCTGCCATCATCACCCATTCAGCCTTTTGGAGAGAGCCTGGGCAGGGTGGGAGAGAGGGAGAGGGGAAGGGGCGACCTGATGGGAAAGGGCAGGGGCAGTCGGGGAGAGAGGGGAATGGGAGAACTGGCGTTATGTTTCCAGGAGTCGTTTTCTTGAGTGCGGGTAAGGAGCGGCGAGAGGGAAGAGGGGAATTGCACGGCACAGAGCAGGGAGAGGGGTGTGAGCAGCATGGCACAGAGCAGCAGAAGGCAATGGGGTCACGAGAAGAACAGCTGTTGTGGATGCGAGATCAGGCGAAGGAGGGGGGGGGTGTGGTGGCTCGGAGGGTTGGCACTGCGGCCCCACGTCCTGTGACCGAAGGATTTGTTGCTCCGCTTGCTGTGCGTGAGCAGGGTGAGTCAGGCGTGAGGGGTGAGTGCTCACAAGAAGGGGTGCCAGCAGCAGCAGACAGGGTAGCAGCAGCAGGGGCAGAATCGGCAGGACGGAGAACAGGGAAAGGAGCAAGTGAAGGAGCAGGGGCAGAAGGCCGAGGGACGGGGGGCGGCCTGAGGTGGATGAAGAGACGAATTCGCGTGCACCAGGGGAGTGAGGGGGCAGAGGCAAGTCCGATAGAGAACCCAGCAGTAGCAGCAACCACAGTGGAAACAGCTTTAGCAGCAGCAGGAACAGCAACAACTGCTGCTGTTAATGCAGCGGACGCAACAGCTGCAGCAGCAGGAACCTTTACAGCTGCGCCAACAGCAGAAACCGCTGCTAATCCGCTCACCTCTTGTCCCATCTCTTCCTCTATCCCCCCTGCTTTGGGAAATGGTCCTTCTAGCTTCGCCAATGCTTCTCTCCCCAGTCGAAAACGGTCCCTCTCAGAACTGCTGTTCCTGCAAACCAGCCATGCTGGTTCGAACCAGCAGGCTCGGACCGAGCCTGATCTGGAACCCGAGCCTGTGGCTTGTGCTGCTGCCGCCGCCGCTGCTGCTGCTGCTGCTGCTGCTGCTGCTGCTGCTGCTGCTGCTGCTGCTGCTGCTGCTGCTGCTGCTGCTGCTGCTGCTGCTGCTGCTGCTGCTGCTGCTGCTGCTGCTGCTGCTGCTGCTGCTGCTGCTGCTGCTGCTGCTGCTGCTGCTGCTGCTGCTGCTGCTGCTGCTGCTGCTGCTGCTGCTGCTGCTGCTGCTGCTGCTGCTGCTGCTGCTGCTGCTAGGTTAAGAGAGCAGGGGAGAGGGTGCATAGCGGAAGAGAGAGGGGAATGTGGGTTGAAGAAAAGAAAAGGAGGGGAGAGGAAGAGAAGGAAGGGTGATGGGGAGAGGATTGGCCTGGACGAAGGCTCACAGGATCTGGAGGGTACAGAGCGGTGGGGAGGAGTCAGGGGAGGTACGAGTCGGTGGGAGCATTTTGCTGATGCTGACGATGATGATGGTAATGATGATGCTGATGATGTTGATGATGATAGTGGCAAGGATGACTGCAGTTTTGATGGTGATGGTGACAGTGATGATGGGTCCTGGGAACAGGACGAAGGTGCTAGCTGGGAGAGGCAGAAGCAGCAGGAACAGCAACAGCAGGAGCAGCATGAGCAGAAGCGGCTAAAGAAGCTGAAAACGGGCGGCACGGGGCAAGCGTGTGGGAAGGATTGGATGGGAATGTCAGACAGTGAGCTGCTAAGCGCAGTACGGAAGCATCTTATAAAGGAGATGGAGGTGTGCGCAGGTCTGAGTGACTGTAACGAGGGTGTACAGGCACCTTGGTGGTGGCAGCAGGTGGTTTATGGTGATTCTAGACAATGCTGCTTGCCAGGAGGCTCGTCAGGTGTTTCACCAGGTGTTTTGTCAGGTACCAGCCCTGGTTCAGGTGCTCTGTTGCAGCTGGAAAAGTTGCATCAGGAGTTCTGCCAGATTGTGGATCGTTGTGGTGATGCTGGTGCTGGTGGCAGGGGGATAGCAGCCAGTGCTGCTGACCCTCGGGGAAAGGGTGAGGGAGATGAAGTCTTGAGTTGCCGCAAGTGCAGTGAGGACACGACGAGGGGAGAGGTTGAGGGTGTTGGAGAAGTGAATGGAGTGGAGGGAGGGGCAGGAACAGGGGGGAGAGTGGATGGGCAGGGTGGGGATGTGGGAGTGTTGGAGTATGCAAAGGAGGGTGCGGGAGGAGGGGAGGAGACTGTTGGAGGGGAGAGGACGGGAGGAGGGAAGGAGGTGCTGATGAGAGGCAGATGGCAACGGGCAGTGCAGCTGAGCTGGCTCTCAGCAATTGTTGCCCAGTGCGAATTTCTGAATAAAGAACATGGATTATCAATGTAAATTTTCTCCTCATTGAAATAGTTTGTGAGCTCTGGTGAAAGATGGACACAAACCATAGTTGTAGGAGTCTTGTACCCCACTGGTTTATCGAGACTCTTATCACTGTTCTATCGCTTTGTTATGCCACTGTACTGTATCTGTCTTGGTCTGTCGGAAACATGTGTACAGTACTCTGACCAAACAAATGTTCGCCTCGCGTTCCGTCCTGATAGCCCGCGATTTGGTCATCAGCGAATCTCGGCAAAATTGCGCGACGCGACAGACCCCGAACTTGTCTCAATTGCATCGACCAAGCTCGCACCGCAGGTAGGGCGACCAAACCTCGTCCAAATGGATCGACCTACATGCTTTTTCACGGTATCTTCATGCTGCGGAAGTGAATATATTGGCGTTACAGTCAGAATCGCGAGATTACAGCCCGGGGTTTCATTTCTTTCATCAAAGACAAAATATGTGACCTGTTACGTCACTTCAGTCTAGGCGCGCCAACAAGGCTTGTCTTAGCTAAATGTTTTTGACTTGATTTTTAAACGGTGTAAACAAAACTAAAACCCCTAGGGAGCCAGGCACCGCTTTAAATGCATCAACCCTAAACACCTTGACATTTCCCGTGTTTAGGGTTGATCCCTCTCGAATTGCAAAACATTCGAGGCATCAACCCTAAACACCTTGTTATGCGTGTTTAGGGTTGATGCCTCCCGGATTGCATCACTGCCTTTAGGGGTTTATTTTTTGCCAGCCTCGGCTTAAATTCAATGCTCCTTAAATGTTTCAGAAAATCGCGATGGACAGGTGGCGAAAAAAATGCCACCGGAAACAGAAAACTATAAAAAAAAAACCAATGTAGCAATAATTACGACCTCACGCGACATAATGACATCGAGAGGGAACACCGACTCCAACCCGTAAAAAATGGCAGATTCAATCGCAAAAGCGCATGTAGGTCAATTAATTTGCGGGGGGTTCGGTCGCCCTATCTGCGGTGCGAGCTTGGTCGATGGGATTGAGAGAAATTCGCGGTCTGTCGCGTCGCGCAGTTTTGCCGCGAATCTCGCTTTGCAGCTTCATTCCACGGCCACATGCAGGCCATCTGAGAAGGCGACAGCGAGCACTACCGCCCGCTTGACCAGCTCGTTTGCTCCCCAAGTTCAACTTTCAGCAGCCAGTGCCCTTGCCCTTCCGGAAATAGCACACAAAGTCTCTTGCGCCTCTAATGCAGTAGACCTGGGAATCATCACCCCACAGTTTGTAGTCATCGGTGTCCCATGTCTCCGGTGTTCACTTAAGCATGTTGCAACTCTGCCCTTGCTTAGCAATGTCATGTCATCAAATCGTGGAATGGAGTCGAGACGATATTTCTGTAGTACCCGCAGATCATTTTAGCTTGTCCCGATGGAGTCCATCGAGATTCGATTCTTGAACTGTACTGTAGCAGACACCACAGCAAAGCGACCCGGAAGGAAACCGCACTAGCAGGCCGCCTCAGGGTCCTGGAACTGCCAGAGAAGGCGAAATTGCACGACACGCCGGCGTGCGAACTTCTCTCAATCCCATCGACCAAGCTCGCACCGCAGAAAAGGAGACCGAACCTCGTCCAAATGGATCGGCCAACATGCGCTTTCTGTCACAACATTTTATATGTTTCTAGCTTTGTAGGCTGTGTAGGGGTTATCTCTAGAGGGTACAACCATTCCCTCGATACTCTTGTACCCTCCCCCTTACCTAATCGACCATCCTTCTCAATAGGTTTCTAACATGGTTTCAGAGGCTAGGGCGTTCCTAGACCTTAGGACCTAAGTTCTTAAAGGGCCCACCAATAAACTTTTCCCTGCCCGAAGCGCTACTGCGCTGCCCAGGCCGTTCTAAGAGCATAGCGCTGCCCTGCTGCCCGTTTGCAGTCGAGCGCTCCTTGTGCTGCCCCGCGTGCTGCTCGCGCTGCTACCTGCGCCCCGCACACTCGCGGCCTTCGCGCACCCCTCTCGCAGCCTTCGCGGCCTTCGCGCGCCCCGCCTGCAGTGCGCACCGCGTGCTGCCCCGCATGCCCCTACGCATTGCCCGCTGCTGCGCGTACTGCTTCTCTTACGCGAGTGCACACCCGGCCCCTGCGCGCTGCCGCTGCTGCCGTGCACTCCGCTGCTGCTGCGCTGCTGCTGTGTGTAAGCGCCCGTGCTGCTGCTACTGTGCTACTGCGCTGCTATTTCTAGCCCACGCAAGCGCACCCACTACTGCAGCTGCCGTTTGCGCTGCTGCTGCTGAGCGCGGCTGCTGCTGCTGAACGCGCTGCTGCTGCAAGTGTTCCTGCCACTGCGCCTGAGCTACTGCTGCCACACGCACTGCTGCTGCTAATCGCTGCTACTGCTGCTGCTACTGCTGCTACCATACGAGCTGCTGCGCTGTGCCCTGCTGAGCCGCGCTGCCCAGCCTACGCCGCGTCGCCCTGCCGAGCCGCGCCGCCTTGCCCGAGCCGCGTTGCCGTGCCCCTACTGAGCCGCACTGCCGTGCTGCTACTGCTGCTGCTAGTGCTGCTGCTACTGCTCCTACTGCTGCTACTGCTACTATGGCTACATTCTCAGTTCTTAGTTTTGAACTTGAGGGTCGTGCGATTACCTTAGACATTTGGCTCGATGACCTCCAGCTGTTCCTGCAGAGCAAGGCTAGGGATGGCATTCCACTGTTCACATATACCAACGGATCCCTCCAAGCCCCACCTAACACAGAGACAGCAGATCATTCAAAGTGGCTCATTCGTGGCGCTATTGGCTGTCAGAAAGAACGAACGAGAATGAATGCATTGAACAGAAGTTGGGTACAAGTACTAACCCTAATTGGGTTGTACCTGTTATGGGCTACCCCACTATAACCTACACAATGTAAGCTATATATATAAGTTTGACACACCCCCATAGGAAAAGTGGGGGAGAACAAGTGGTCACAAGACCAGTCAAGAAAAGCAAAGCAAGCTCAGGGTGGATCACAAAGTCACCACACAGTTCGAGCACAAGCAAAGGGCCACAAGGCCAGTTCACATGCAGAGTTATATAAAAGAGAACAAACAATATCGTGATCATACCCTAGCAAGTGCAAGCATGCAGGTATATATAGAGATCACAGTACAAGCAGAGTCAAGCAGTAAGCAAGTGAGGCAAAGTAGGCACAAGGCCTAACACAATAGCAAAACGCTGATGATCACCAGGCGGAAGTGCCTTGGTGAATATATCAACAGTGTTGGCCCTAGTGGCCACGTACGCAAGACGAAGCTGGCCACGCTGCTGCAACTCTCGAGCAAGGAAGTATCGCAGAGCGATGTGCTCCAGTCTGTGCTCCTGACACAAGGCAATCATGGCCTTGTTGTCTACGTACAGAACTGGAGGCGAATGAGGCTGCTCTCCCAAGTCAGTCAGGAGGTAGGTGAGCCAGCGTAGCTCCAGTGCAGCCATGGCCCCGGCGTAGATCTCTGCATCACAACTAGAGCTGAGAACCAAAAACGAGCGGGTAGACCGCCAGGAAACAGAGCCGGAACCAAGGATGAAGGTGTAACCCTGTGACGACCGCTGCGTAGCTGAGTTGTCAACCCAAGAAGCGTCTGCGTGACCGGTGAGGACAACTGGACCCCGTCCTCCAAGCACGAGCCCCATGCCCGACGTACTGTACAAGTAACGCAGTACCCTCTTTGCAGTATCCCAGTGCACCTTTCGGTGCCTATCGGAAGCCACGTAGCAAGCCAGGAGGCTAAGAGGGTACGCGAGGTCAGGTCGTGTGCAAGTCATAAGGTATATGAGGCAACCCACGAGCTCTGGGTACGGACCACTCGGCTCTACGGACTCGTCCGAAGGTGGAGCTGAGAGCTAGTGGTTGGTAGACAGAGGAGTGGGCTCTGGCGCACTGGTTGGTAGAACTGGAAGCCGAAGCACTGAAGAACCTGGTGCACCATGTGTGACTGAGTCAGTGTGATGGTGCGCCGTGCTCTGTCCTGGGTGATCTGCAAGCCAAGATAGCTGCGTAGTTCACCCAGGTCAGTGCAGGTGTGTCTCTTCTGCAGCTCCGACTTCACAAGGGTCAGTGCCTCTGTGTCAGCAGTGGCAAAGACGAGGTCGTCTACGTACATGAGGACGTAGAACGGCGGCAGCGAGGTGTTGGTGCATAGAAACAGCGACGGGTCAGTAGTAGAAGGAGCGAACCCAAGAGCCGCAAGTGTAGTCCTCAGTGTGTCGTGCCACTCGCGAGGCGCCTGGCGGAGCCCGTAGACTGGCCGCCGGAGGCTTCACTGGGTACCTGCAGGAAACGACCCAGTGAAGCAAGGTGGGCGGCGCAGCCAGATCTCCTCATGCAGGCTGCCCTGCAAGAAAGCTGTACTGAAGTCCAGAGAGTGCAGCTCGTAGTCACGCTGAGCAGCGACGTGCAGCAACACCCGAAGAGTAGTCATCTTTGGGGTGGGGGAGAAGGTCTGGAAGTAGTCAATCCCCTGTCGGTGACTGAAGCCTCGAGCAACGTAACGCGCCTTGAAGGCAGGTGGAGAACCCGGCGGCCGCTTCACCCTGAAAATTCACATGCCATCGACTATGTTCGCCCCAGGTGGGGGAACCTCGTCGACGTAAGTGCCTGTGGACTTCCAGGATACCATCTCGGCATCCATGGCTGCCTGCCACTGAGAGGAGTAGGGACCAGTAATCGCCTCTGCGTAAGAGCGTGGGGCTCGGATGTCTGGTGCATCCGGGTCTCCCTCAGGGGCAAGCAGCATGGAAGCGAAACGAGGTACAGCAGCTGCAAGACACTCAAAGTCCTCCTGCCTGTCCTCAAGGTCGTCCGTGCCAAGAGCACACTCACCACCGACGGACGGAGGACTGGCAGACGCAGACTCAGCAACAAGAGTAGTGGCGTAGTCTAGACGGCATGCGGCAGCAAAGTCAAGCAGCTCAGCAACGAGAGCAGACGCACCAGCAGACTCAAAAGAAGGGTCAGTGACAGCAGTGGCAAGGAGACGAGAGACAGTGGGACTGGCA